TCTGGTTACCTGAAGTAGTCCCAAACGGAGAATTTGTGTTGTTGAAGATGCAACTAGCACGCCGAGCTTCATCAGTCGATTCAGCCTCTGTTTGCTCCGATATCGCGTCGCGGAATCAACCCTAGGACGACTGCTCTGATACCATGACAATTTCTATGTTTAGGGTTGAGAAATGGCCGAACAATTATAGAGTCAGCTGTGTGCTGCTCTGCTCTTTTATATCAGCTCATAATCTGGGATTACAGATAGTTGCCAAGTGTCTCTTTGACACTGGCTGAGTTTAAACACTAAACAGTGTCTTAACGGCTAATCCTGAACAATAATAGAAACGGTGTCGCAGCACCTTTAGGAATAGAAACTACACTTAAACGACTTCGTTTCTTCTACTCTTCTGCAATCCTTCTTCCATATGGATTTGCTGTTCTTCAATTCTGTCATGGTAGCCACAGTGTTGCGGGATGACTACAAGTCTGCTAGGAAGTTGGCCAAGTAAGTTTTTTGCTGCTTTGGTCCTTTTCTGGTAAATTGAGATTATTTTAGGTGATTGAATTGTGTCAACAATTTGGTTCGTAATCCTTATAAACCAAATTGTGGGGGGGGGGGGGGGCATTTGTTGACACCTAAAATTAATTTGGCCGGATTAAATTAGTCTCGGCATTTAATTCGATACGGCGGGTAAAAAACGGTGTCGTTGAGAGTCGAGTGGCATCGCGGAGAGTTAAAACGATATCGTGAAATAAAAAATGGTACCGCAAGGAAGCTCAGCGGTACCGCGACACTGGAAACGACACTGTTTACCGGAAAATAAGAGGTGGGCCGCACGTTTAGTAGTGGTGTTGGAAAAGGAGTTTTTTTTTAATTAATTATTATTTTTATTCATTGTCGGAAGGGGAGAAGCGATACCGCATGGGGACAAGCGGCATCCCGGAGAATTAAAACGGCATCGTGGATTAGAAAACGATGCCGCGAGAGGCCTTGATAAACGATACCGCGAGAGGCCTTGATAAACGATGCTACAATAGTTAAAACGACAGTGTTAAATTTAAAACGGCATCGCGAAGTTCAACAACATCGCAGAACTAGAAAACAGTGTTGTTTAATTAAGAACGGCGCCGCGAAGTGACAGTTTGACGGCGTGTCAACAATGATGGCCGATTTAATTAATTAATATTTTAAGGATTATTTTAGACGGTGTCGTTTAGTCGAAAACGACATCGTGGGAGATATCAACACCGTCGCGGTACTGAAACGATGTTGTTTAATAGAAAACAACGTCACAGTGGCGAGAGTTCAGCAATTGTGGATTTTGGCTCAGTGTCGTTTTGGCCAAGTTTCCGCGTGTCCAAGCGGTTTCGCACTCGTGGTGTTACTCAACAAGGAGGAAGTTACATGCACGGTTGACAAGAGTGAAGACACGTGGGAGTTCACGATGGAGCGGTTGAGGAAGCAGTTCTTCGGGTTGTGAAGACTATGCAAGTGATTTCAGATAAAATCACTGGAGCAAGGAGAGAGAGAGAAAAACCAAAAATCAACACAGATAAACTGGAATGCGTTAGGGTGGAAACTGAATTTCTAGTAGCCACCGTGGCTACAACAGTATCCACCATCTATTTTCTTCTCTTTCCTCTTTTTTTAATCTTACGGTTAAGATTACTTTAGGATAATTTTGGAAGAAAAAAAAGTACCACACTGGATTATTCTATATATTCTATCCTAACCCTACTTTTCCCTAACCCTACTTCGCCCTCGTCTCCGCCGTCTGAGGCGGCTTCTTCTGCCTCCAAAATAGAGCACCGTCCCTTCTCTTTCAAACTTTGCCGATGGACGGAAACCATGCCTTCCGATCACCCACTCACTCCGGCCGCCTTTAAACGCCACTCCTCAAAGCTATGAAATTTCCATACTCTGGCGAATATGAACTGTCCCAACACTGTTGGCGCAGTTGCAAGCCGATATGCTTTCCTTCTCCAGCAGCTCTGCTCTCCTCGCCAAATCCCGCTCTCTGCCTACCTCGCTCGGACCGTCCATGCCCACGCAGTGGCTTCCAGATTCCACCCTAATCCGCCACGCCATCAAATCTGCTTCCTTTCTCTTCTCCGCAGACTTCCACCCAAAGGCCAAAACCCAGCTTCAAGCTTGAAACTCCATCTTCTCCGCAGACGGCATTCATAGCTCCGGCTGCCGCCGGTTCTGGAATGGTAGTGTTATGTTTGGAATGGTAGTTTTTTTGCTGTTTGGAATTGTAGTGTTATGTTGGAATGGTATTCTTTTTTGCTGTTTTCTTTCATGCATTGGTAGTTTTCTGCATACATGTGAAACCGTGCTTTTTGATGTGATTGGTATTGTTCTGTTCGAATGGTAGTTTTTTAGTTTTTTTGAATGGTAGTTTCCTTTCATGCATTGGTAGTTTTCTCCATACATGTGAATCTGGTAGTTTGATTTGGATTGGTAGTCTTCATTTGGATTGGTAGTTTGATGTGGACTGATGTTTTGTGAAATGGTAGTGTTTTTATTTCTTGAATGGTAGTTTTCGTGTAATGGTATAGATTTATTTCTGTAATGGTATTGATATTTTTCAAAGTGGTAGTGTTTGTCTAATGGATTGATACTGATTTTGTTTTTTTTTTTTTTTTGCAGAAAGATTGAGAAAAATATGGAAAGAAAATCTGGATGGAGATTACGGAAGTGAGAGGAAGAGAGAATTTTAATTAATAGATTTTTGTAACTACCTTAAATGTAATTTATTAAAAAATTAATTAATATAATTTATTTTTCCATACCGAATTTACCCTTAGTAACCACGGTGATTACTACAAAGTAGTAATCACCGTAACCTGTCCCAGATAAACTCTGTTCAAACTTTATCTTATTCTCTGTAACTCCTTCGCGGAGCTCTCCTTCCAGGAAGGATCTCCATAGTTGTAGTCTTAGTTGTAGTCGCGGAGCTCTCCACATGAATCTCCATAGGAGTAGCGGTAACGTAGATTCCTAAAAACTCAAACACCCTCGTTCGAACAATGTTTAGAGATGTGTGAACCGAGTAACGATCGTTCTTGGTTAGAAGTCAAAGGTGCATCGATCAGATCAACATCGCCCGACGCCTGGTGGTGGATATTTGACGGTCACGTTGATTTCAACAGTCGGTGGTGCGTCCGATCAAACGACACCGCAAAAGTTTCTGTCGCGAAATATCAAATCAACATCGCCGGAAACAAATTCGGCACCGGCGGTGGTATTTGGTTATCCCGTGGAAACACCTTCCTCTCTCCACAAATCTGCGAACAATGAATGGCAAATTAAAGAGGATTCTCGCAGTATCAAACAACAAGAAAATGGATGTCAAGGAATATCTGCAACAATACAGAAGAGTTAGACCAATTTCCACATTCAGCTATACTCATATTCTGTTTATAAAACAAAAAAACAAAATGGAAAAGGTGATCATGATGAACTGTTACCCACAACTCTAAGGGTTTTGCTCGTAACTCATAAGCGAGAGAGCGATGTTCGTGTCGAAAGACCTTTAATTTATTTATTGGATACGAAATTAATGCCGAACTTACATATTTAGAGGCAACTAAACCTATCACCACAAGGATAAAGGCCAAGCCCATGCACTAATAGCCTATCTCTCTAAGTACTAACTACTAAAAAAAGCTAGCCCACTTAATTAGCCAAACACATAATTAATCAAACACGTACATAAACTACTTATCTAAAAAGCCCAAACCCAAAATAACCTCATCAATCCTTCCCCTCAAAGAACCTTGTCCGCAAGGTTCAGATGTCGAACAATAGCGCTGGGACGACGACAATGATGGCGGCTGCACTTCTTGTGGTGGCGATGCTTGGATCGTACATAGATGAGGTTCAACTATAGTTCTCCTATATAAAGCTACGCAACCTATGAATAATCACATCTACCCATTATTAGAGTGCATTGCAAGGACAAGTTTGTATTTATGCGATCATAAATGCGTAGCAGGAGAAATCATGATCAATAGATAGTGTACTGTTAAGTGTTAACCCAAGGCAGAAGAAGGCTGAATGATCCTGTAAATCAAGCCTGTAATAAGTCCCTACCATCTTTTCGATCAAGCTTAATTCATTCCGGCCACCTAGTTAGGTAAGTTAGAAACAAGGTAAAATATAATAATAAATATATTTTAATTATATTTATTACCGAAAGAGGTTAGGGGTAGTTTCAAACCCTGTCTCCGCTACTGACAACAAATGATGTCATTTTATATCAAATAAATATTTAAATCCCACCTACTTAATTATAACATTGCGTTAAAAGTACAAGTTTATTTTGTATCGAATAATTTTGTACGTTTATGTTATGATACAAGTTTAGTTTGTAATATAACGTAGTATTAGTACAAACTCATGTCAGCTATAAAAGAATTTGTATACAAAGATATAGGTGCAAACTAAATTTGTACAATAACATTAAAGATATAAGTTTAATTTGTAACACAACCTATATTATTGTCCAAAAAAATTGAAGTGTAAAAAACAGCTAGCATCTGGCTATATATGTACCTGAGCGAGGAAATTGAACAAGTCCAAGGATTAAATTAACATTTTTATTTTGAAAGAAATTAAAAAAATAGCGCGTATCATACACGGTACGATAAACGCTGCCGTTTAATTCGGTAATATATATATACTATCTTATGCCACGAAACCTGGCTCGGATAGGGCGTCACTCACCAATCCCACTCACCATTCACCAACCGATGCCACGGAAGTAGCAGGCACCCGTACCATATATATACTATTTTATGCCACGAAACATGGCTCGGATAGGGCGCCACTCACCAACCGATGCCACGGAACAAGCAGGCACCGGTACCATATATATATACTATTTTATGCCAACGCTCTAAGAAATGGCAGCCGGCGGCGGCGTGTTCATCTGCTGCTGCAGGGAGCTGAGGAGCGGGTTCCCGGATCACCTGTGCGCGGGACTACGGGAAGCGGGACTGACGGCGGTGATGGGCGGAGGAGATCTGCCCAAAGGGGTGAACCTGAGGGACGCGGTCCGGTGCGCGATCGAGGATTCCAGTTTCTCCGTCGTGATTCTCAGCCGCGAATTCGCTTCCTCGCAGTTCCGCCTCGACGAGCTCGTCCAAATCAAGGAGCAGCACGCCGCCGGTACCCACGCCTGCTTACCGGTCTTCTTCCATATCTCCCCCGACGACGACTGCGCCACTCTCGTCGTCGACTCCGGATCCGGCGGCTGCTTCCACGACTGCTTTAACCGATACAAAACCCAGTTCACTTACCGAAGGGTTCACGCCTGGATCCAAGCAATTGCTTGGCTTGCCGGCATCTCCGGCTGGGTCCTCACCGCCGGCCGGTCTGCTATCTAACTATCTAACTATCCATACTTGGCTTCGTTTTTATTTGTTTCAAACGGGCTCAAGATAGGTGCATAACCATGGGTTATGCACCCATCAATAACCAAATCTGGACCATTCATTTAGAAAATCAAGATCTAAGGATGGAGAATTAAAAGCTATTTTTATTTTCACTAGTTTTCTTAATTGACTCATATCTTTTTCGTTTTAATTCGGATTTTAATTTTTTTTGCACAGATGGAACGAGTTCACCGTGCTCTACAAAATGAGATCAATTTTCAATATTTTTTTAGGAAAAAAAAATTCTGGCCTCTCGGTACCAACTGCATACCATATGGTATCTTCTTCGTTTTTAATTCGTTTTTGAAAACGTTTGCACAGCAGGGATGAGTTCATCATGATCTACTGGATCTACAAATTTCTGGGTGAACAAATTACAGGACAAAAAAATACCACACAATACCATATAATACCACCCTGGTACGGGGTGGTATTGTATGGTATCTTCTTCGTTTTTAATTCGTTTTTGAAAACGTTTGCACAGAATGGACGAGTTCATCATGATCTATTGGATCTACAAATTTCTGGGTGAACAAATTACAGGACCAAAAAATACCACACAATACCATACAATACCACCCTGGTACGGGGTGGTATTGTGTGGTATACAATGTTAAAAGTCGTAAATTACAATTAATATACTTCTACTATCATGTATTCAATCATCCTACAGTATTGGTTTGTTCATACCACCCTGGTACATTTTTCAAAACATAGGTATGCTTTTATTTCAATACCAGTCAATACCATATGGTATAGGCTGGTAAAAAATGGCTCAATTTTTTTTGTTCGAAAAATATATTAAAGTGGATGTCATTTTGAAGAGCACAATTAATCTGATCTAACTGTGCAAAAAAAATTAAATTTCGACTTAAAATGAGTGAGAAATCGTCCGTCAAAGATTAAAAAGGGAAAAATTAAAGGCTTTCCATGAGAGAGAGGATGCTGATGTCATGCTGATGTGGACGGGTTACTCATGGTTACTCACCATAAGGTTACTGACCTGATCTATTCCCGTTTCAAACATATAATCTGGTATTATTTTTGCCTAGGCATCTAATTTACTAGGTCTGTACGGGCACCCAAAACCCTAGGAAGGTCCTAACTGAAAATTGTTAGAAACTATCAATAATGAAAATTAGGGTTACCAATATTCTAGTCGCTCGCGAATTCGGTCGCTTTCCTTTAAAACGTTCTTAACACTATCTCGTATTAGCCATAATATACTATGAGTCGATTCCTCCTAAGATATAACAACCACTCTCACGTTCTCTTGTAGTGCAAAAACCCTAGATTTATTAGTACTATCTTTCTATTTGAGCTCACAATTGTATGCTTAGAGGATTTAGGAGGTCTAGTTTTTATAGGAGGAAAAATCTCGTTATTTTCTCTTTTGTGAGGGAATAAGCCATGCGTTTTAAGAAAATGATTGCTCCCCTTAATTAAAATGCACTCTCATAACTCATAAGATAATTACTTTGAATTAAATATCTTTATTTTGAATTAAAGAATGTTAATGAAGTAATCTTTCTCCAAATTTGGAGAAGTGTTACGGACATGAGGTATAGAATGTTAATGAAGTGTTACAAACATAGTCAAAATTAGTTGTTCTTTTTATGGTATCTCATGACACTTCCAATAACATTATATCCTCCATATGGGTCCAGATCTTGTCAGTAACTGATGGGTCAGTAACCCATCAGTAACCCCTTCCCTGGTCCCCACGTGTCAGTCACTTTTTTATTTAAATTAAATGTGAAAAGGGTAGTACGGTAAAATTGCACTTACTCCTATTTATTATTGATGCTCACTTTTGACCGGAGCCTATCGGCCCATCTTTCTCTCTCCTAGCAAAACATTTAATTTTCCTTCCCTTAATCTTTAACGGACGATTTCTCACTCGTTTTAAGTCGAAATTTAATTTTTTTTGCACAGTTAGATCAGATTAATTGTGCTCTTCAAAATGATATCCACTTTGATATTTTTTGGACACAAAAAAAATTGTCAGTTATTACCAGTCTATACCATATGGTATTGACTAGTATTAAACAAGAGCATACCATGTGGTATGGTAATATTTGCCACATGAATATATATTTCGTTACCACCCAATACCATATGGTATAGTGTGGTAATATCAATATATATTTCGTTACCACCCAATACCATATGGTATAGTGTGGTAATATCACACAATACCATATGGTATAGAGTGGTAATATCAATATATATTTCGTTACCACGCAATACCATACATTACCATAGGGTATAGTGTGGTAATATCAATATATATTTCGTTACCACCCAATACCATATGGTATTGGGTGGTAATATCAATATATATTTTGTTACCACCCAATACCATATGGTATAGTGTGGTAATATCACACAATTCACACAATACCATATGGTATAGAGTGGTAATATCAATATATATTTCGTTACCACGCAATACCATACATTACCATAGGGTATAGTGTGGTAATATCAATATATATTTCGTTACCACCCAATACCATATGGTATAGTGTGGTAATATCAATATATATTTCGTTACCACCCAATACCATAGGGTATAGTGTGGTAATATCAATATATATTTCGTTACCACACAATACCATATGGTATAGTGTGGTAATATCACACAATACTATATGGTATAGAGTGGTAATATCAATATTATTTCGTTACCACACAATACCATATGGTATAGTGTGGTAATATCACACAATACCATATGGTATAGAGTGGTAATATCAATATATATTTCGTTACCATGCAATACCATAAATTACCATAGGGTATAGTGTGGTGATGTCAATATATATTTCGTTACCACCCAATACCATATGGTATAGAGTCATAATATCAATATATATTATCTAAAAGGAAAAAAACAGAAGGAGGGAGAGAAAAAAATCGTCTTCTGATGCATCTCATTTCCTCTTCCTCAATCAAGAACACCAAAATGCCAAAAAATGAGAAAGATCGGAATTGAGTCCAACGAGTTGATGAAGAGAAGAAATGCAATGAAAGAGAGTGGCTACAATTTTTATGCTAGAGAAAAAAAAATGAAGAAGGAAGAGAGCAGATTTAGATTTGAAAAGGAGATTGTGAGAAAAAAAGTAAGAGAGAAGGAATAGAGAAAGAGAAAGGTTATGGAAAGAGATTGAAAAAAAGGAAGAGAGAAGGAATAAAGTTGAGTTGCAGAGAAGGAAGATTCTCTCTCTTTCATTGAAAAGCCAGCCATTGAAATGCGGAATAAATAAAAAATTAAAAATACGAAAACGGACAAAAATGCAACTCCCCCACCCAGCTTCCAGCCCATCCACACGATTTCTCCCTCCTCAAATCTACGGCCCGCGTGTTGTTACTGATGGGTCAGTAACCAGTGGTTACTGACCCTATCTTGGACCTCCTCCATATAATGACAATTAGGTAACCTGTCAAGTAATCCTATGAGATATGCATTGTCGAGTCTGCAGTTGTGTCTCGCAAAGTACCAATTGTACTTGCATATTCAGATATTTTAAAGTGTTTTTGAAAAATTTTTGCACTAGCATCATAGAATGTATGTATTTCTTCAACATATAATCTTTTCTAAGTAACTAGATTGATTTAGAGAAAATCTCTTTATGTACTAGTTATCTGATTCCAAGGATAACACTACCTTCGCTTATATCTTTCACATCAAAGTTATCACACAACATCGAAAACATGAATATTTGAACCAAAGATCAACATATCATTATATAATCTGTTAAAATTTACCTGCTCTGTGATTCTTCTTTTATGATTTTTCTTACGGAGAGAAACCCTAAATATGTAGGTCTGAAGCTGCCCTTGTGAAGGAGATAGTTACAACAATCCAAGAAATGATCCGTAAAAGCGAGCTGCCATGCTTCCCTGGCCATTGTCGTCACTATCCCTCTAACAGTTGGGAGGAGCACAATCACAAGCACAAGCACAAGCCCTCTGCCGCATCCACAACAATAGGGGTGGCAACCGGTCGGTTTCGGTTTAACCGAAAACCGAAAACCCGGTTATCGGTTAAACCGAGACCCCCCCTTAAGCTGCCGACCACCGACCGAAGAAAGGGCACGGTTAGCCGACCAACCGACCGAGCAATTCCGGTTTTGGGCTCGGTTAGCCGGCCAACCGAAAAAATTACATTTTCCAAAAAAAAAAAAAATTAAAAAAAGAAGAAAAAATCTGCACCACTCAATCTCAAACCTTATCTTCTCCTCTCTCCCCTTCCTCCACCAGACCCTTCTCTTCTCTCTCCTTCCTTCCCCACCATTTTCTCCACCAGAAAATTATCTTCTCCTCTCTCCCCTTCCTCCACCGGAAGAAAACCGCCGCATGAGACGACTCGCGGTGGCGGGAGACTACTCACGGCGGGAGACTTCTCGAACCGCCGCCGCCGCAGAAATCGCTCGTCGACTCCATGGCTTCCTTCAGATCCGTCAAGTTACCGGCCGAGATTCCTCCGCCACGCCTTGGACGTCGACGCCGCATGTTCTGCCGTCGGCGCCTAGCGTCGTAATTGCCAGCAGAAGCAGAGCCGCCCCCAGAACGACGCGGGTTTTGGCCATCTTTTTTCTTTTTTTCTGTGGGGAATTGGATTGTGTGTTTGTAAATTTGGGTGGGTTGGTTTGTTTGTTTTATAGTGGGGAGAAGGGGTTTTCGATTTCGTGGGATTTCTGGTGCAAAGGGATGCGTGGTTGTTTAGGGTATGTGGTCATGAAGATTGGATTGGGTTTGGGATTACACTTGGTGAAATTGGTATATTGATGGAAGTGACGAAGTTGTGAAGATGAGAAGAGAATGGAAGGTGGGTGGGAGCAGAGAGGAGATTGAGATGAGGTTGAAGGGATGGGGAGTTCTTTGTGAGGAGGAAGAAGAAGAAGAAGTGGCGATTAGGGTTGGAGAGGAGTGGGGGAAGGGGTCGT